CATTTCTTTATGACTGTTTTAAAAGGTTTTTAGGTTGGCCTCATTTTACGTTCAGTGCGGTTGCACCAGGAGAGTCAGACAACTGCCTGATGAGCCAAGATTAAAGAGCTTCCCATTGTTTCCCTTTATTTTCAGCTCCTGTGGTTCTGAGCAATGTTAGCGAGGTGTGAAGTTGGATGAGTGATGAAGGGAGTTGCACACACACACTGAGAAAAGAAGGTAAAGAGACAGCACACAGGAGGAGAGAGACAGGCAGACAGTAACAGAAGTAGCTCGAAGTGTGGGAAGGTATTGAGCGATCCTAGGCCCTCAGCCCACCGCTCTCTCAGAAATCCTTTGGAAAAGTGTGAAGTCAGTCTACAGGCACCAAAGAACTTGCTTACTGTAAACTATATTTACACTTGACTCCACTCTAGTATGGATGCACTCTGCTGAAGACAAGGAAGGACTGAAACACAGATCTGTCTTTTGGTGATTACTTAGATGTTCAGATAAAATAAATTAAACCTTGCTGCCTCCTCTTCATTCCCTGCACTTTTAATTTCACTAAAAGAGGCCAAGTGAAATAGAAATTAATTTGATAAGTGAGCTTTTTGAGGGATGGAACATAATGTTTGATGCAGATGTCTGGAGCAGGTGTTTGCCTTTTGTGGAGCAGACTTTTTAAAAGTAACCAACATGGGATAAATATTTATATTCATATTACAATAATTACTTTTGGTGTCAACTTTCAGTAGAAAGTATTAAGTCTGACTGTGTTCGATCTGGGTGGAATAAATCTAAGCAGACAGTCACCAAATTCCTTGTATGATAAGATAAGAACCCAAGTGATGTTTATTATAAAGCCCGTACAGGACAAGACACACTGTTCAATGGCTTTTGCTTATGCAAGTGAACATGGAATAATATCAGTGGTCATAAAATAAAACAACTTTTGAAAAATATTATTATATAATCCTTCTGTTAGATAATGATTCTATCCAGCAAAAGATTATACTTGTGTAATGAAAATGTAAACCCACGTTCTGGTTTGTACTTGGTTTGTAAACTTTGATAATAATATCATGTTATTGTTAAGAGACCTTTCAATTAAGTTATACAACTGCAAACTGTACTTCTCGTCATAACCAGTAGGGGGTATGCTAGACCGTCTAAGTACACAATGGCTGGCAAACAGCCTTTCCATGCAGAGCACTTGGCATAATCCAAACAAGATGTGTGTGAAGCAGAAGTAGTAGTTAAGTACAACAAAGACAACAGTTAACAATTAAATGTGTCTGTGGTGGAGAAATGTCTTGGTTAAATGTCTAATATATTTTTAAACCTTGAACTTGAATAATGTTTTTATACTGTTTTGGATGAACAGTACGTTGTTCTGTGTGTAGTGGTGCAAACAGAGAATAACACTCAAGGGTGTGTGTTTGTGTGTGTGCGTGTGTGTGTGTGCGTGCGTGTGTAGGGGGGCTTTGAATAGTTGCCTGGATACGAGTCATCACAACTATCCTTTCAGCAGCAGCAGCAAGTTAAACATGGTGCTGCTTCTCCAAAAAAACAACTTGTTGAACTTTGTTTTATCTGATTGTGCTCCAAGTAAAACTGACCAAGTCCCTGAAATAATAAGACCAGATAATTCTGTTAGTGTAGAAAATCTGAGCCAAGAGGAACATGCACCAATTACAGAGATACGTTGTCCTAAGACCAACAAGCTTTGTGTGATCCAGGTTCTGAAGCAGCTGAGTTTAACTGAGCTTTCTGATTTCACCCTGTAACCCTGAGACCTAAGGTACAAACTCTTATATGAAGACTCACTCCAGTTTGTAGAGGAAACAGTCACATGTAAGATGCAGACATGGAAAAGTTCCTACATCTCTGCAGGGCACGTGGTGCTTATGTGACATGACACGAAGTCCAGACCCAACTGTGCAATTTGCCTGTCACACATGAACAACATAGCAGGAGATTCTCCGTTTATAGTTCGTCTACAGCACAAAAATCTCAGGAGATTATCTAGGGTTCAGTGCATGTCTGAAAGCAGCTGTCTTTTCGCAGGTAGCAAAAAAAAAAAAACAACAACAAGTCATAAAACTGCACTTCTGTAAAGTTCTGTTTTTCAAAATGAAACAGAGTAAGGAGGCAAACGAAATGAGGCGATGAAAAGCAGAGGCATATGCTAAAATGAAATGAAGGGAGCCTGCAACATGCTGAGAGGAGGGAGCCGAAGGCAGGGCAGCGACGACAGACTGCGAATACCAATGATATGACTTCTGGGAGTCTGGTAGCAGAAACCACACAAGTTCTGCTGTTCTATGAGAGACACTAAAAGAAGGAGAAAGCCTGTGGATATTATGACGGAGACTAACTGGGTTCATACCAAGATGTGGAGGAAGTCACTGTGTTATTATTATTATGTGTTATTAGAAAGGCCAAACTTTCTGCTGGTTTCATTGTGTTTAATTGAAGACTTTTTAAGACCATAATGAAATAAAATCTAATACCTGAGGTCAAGTATGATAAATAATAAGGAATATTAGTGTCCCAAAATTATTTACACACATAGCCGATAAGAGAACAACCCTCAAAATGTTATCTCACTACAGGTGTACCTTAACATATTTAGGACCTATTATATAATATTCTGATCTATGAAATACTTTTTAATCCTAGCAGTTAATAAGGGTTGATAGTTTCATGCCTCTAGTGTTTTTCATTTTTATGTTTTCTTTTAATTTACATTTACATTCATTACTTGTGAAAGTCAACAATATGTATCACATAATTATGAGTGCATTTTAGTCGTGGTTAGTGACTGTAGCAAATAAATGTCTAAATATGAACTAGAGTGTAAATAATTAAAAGTTACTTTGAAAATGTAGAACTTAGCAGTTTACAATTTTAATTCTTCGTGATCAGTGTTTCCTGTACTGGCCGAGAGAACTGGGTTAAGTGTGTGTGATGAAAACATCTGGTTGATTGTGTAGTGCTACTGTGAGC